ACGTATGATTAGGAATGATGCTATATTTGTTACACATTAACATTATTCATCTATTAAGGAAATAAATAAACTTGAAATGTGTTCATTATTCTTTTAAAAAAACAAAACAAGCAGACCAGTTATAATAGTAGATACCCAAATGTCCTCAAGGACAAAGACACCTCTCTTTGCCAGCATGGACCACCATATGTAGTACATTAGGGACATGGAAAGGGCTGTGATCCCTGCCTATTTTACTTTCGAACTATAGGATTCCGCTTATTTTTCTCTTCCTTCTCAGAGAAACTCATCTAAAAAAATAATCACTTTGCTTCCTCAACAGTGAGAGAAACAACTGAATTATAGTTACTGTTATTAACGCACTGTTTACTTAAGAGGAAAGAAAGCAAATTCTTTTCTTTGGTATTCTGTGTAAATGCTGCTGCATAGACATTGCTGCTGAAATCTACACTACAAGTAGTGATGAAGCATACATTACAAAGGCTACGGTGCCTGACAATAAGCTTACAGAGGCCATGTTTTAGTAGGCTGCCCAGAAAAGGGCAGTGTCTTTTATTCTCCCAGAAATCAATCCTCTCCCTATCAAACTGCCCTACACATCCAAGTTTATCCCTTTGTCACTTCCATCATGTGGGGGTCTCAGCATAGTCTTCGTTCCGTTTTTGGGATGCATGTGTGTCATTGTTCATTCCAGCACCATTCCTGGGTGAGCCTTCCTGTATAGGAAAAAAATGTAGCGTCTCCCTGCAGTGTCACCATTTATATAAATAAAAATATATTTTATTTTTGTCAATTATGGATTGGTTTATAGAAGCATATCAAATTAGTTACTTCAGCTCCACAAATAATGTCTACTGAAAAAGCAAAATACAGGACTTCCTAGTCTTTTTTTTTTTTTTTTTAAATCTAACTTTACTTTTGGTCTGCCTGGTGGACATCTTGCTTTTGTAGTTATGTGTTCATACATTCAATCTCCCCCCAATTTTTTTTTCCTGGAAGAAAATACTTTTGTCCTTCGGTCTGTTTACCTCCCTTTCTCGGCTGACACTTCCAGTTAGAAGTTAAGTTTAGTTTACAGTAAAAAGGATAGAACTTGTCTATCCTTTTCCGTTTTAGGGAGTGGGAGGAAGTCCAGGAATGAGAAGGGAAAAATACTAATAACTGTTTGATATTCCTGTTTCCTTAGAAAAGATACCAATAAAAGAGTATTTTAAAAATGAAAGACAATGAAGTAAATTCACTCAGCACTGATCTGATATTTCAAACCCTCAGATTCAATAACCATTCAGTCAAGTTCAATGATCAACTTCATCTTAGTTAGCCTTATTTTTCAGAAGTGAAGCACCAGTTGCCCATGAAACACTTCAGTAACAGTAGGACCACAATTTCTATTTAAAAACAAAATAAAAAAATACAGAAAAAATTGTGTTTTTGTGATTAGTCACTGCATCTGTGTAACAAAGAGTAAGCCTTAATGTATCCAATATATTAGCAAACACTAACCAGCCATTTTGACAACTGATGTAAGTAGGTGTAGAAATATATACATTCTATGATGTCACAGAAAATCTGAAAGTTGTTGAATTCATATTTATTCTAGAAAATATAACAAACATTGGAAACCTGAAGTTGTCTAAAGGAAACAGGAAATCAAGTAGAAACAAGGAATTTTCATTATTAGGTTCAATGAGAAAGACAAGGTAGGTAAGATAGTATCTTTTATTGAATAATCTTCTGTTGATGGATTGTACAAGCTATCAAGCTCTTAATTTAGAAGAACAACATTGGAGGCTTGACAACGGACAATTGCATACCCATGTTCAGTACAGAGTAGTCTGTATCACTGAAGTCTATTTTTTGATGATTTTAATGGCCAATTTTGCTGTCAGAGGAAAGGGAGACTCCTAAATGTGAAACCAGCCAAATTACAATGATACCCTTGTCCAAGCTTGGTGATACAAGCTGCTAGACCTTTCTTCCTCACTGGTAAGCTCAGTGTAACGTCACCAGGTACCAAAAGGCAAAATAAGTTAGGCCACTCTAAGAAGTCAGAGGTCCTAGTGAGAGAGCTCCCAGAGACACCAAGAAACACTGATGCCTGCAGAGCTCTCCCAACCCAGGGGAGAAAAGGACCATGGTAAAAAGTGGTGCCAGCGGGGGAGGAGCCAGTTGGATACCACAGCTGGCCTGAATTAACAAGCACAGCCCAAAAAGGAAGAGTGTGGGCCTCCTGTGCCAAGGATAGAAAAGCCTGACAGGAAATCTCCTTAGCCCCAAAGAGGAGGGAAGGGAAGATACCTGAACCTGAGGAAGAGCCTACAGGCCACAGAGGCCAGGACTGAAATCCCCACAGCTTCCAAGAGGGGACTGAATCAATCTCCACCCTGAGGAGAGGGGGGAAGAGTCCCAAAGTTAGGAAACCAAACCCAACAATTTAGCTCACTAATTGGACTAAAACAACTGAGACTACCTTTTTGAACTATTTACAAGGAAAAGCTGAAGAAGTCAGCAGAGCACTGAAACTCCATCCTAGATCGCAAGCTGCAAGAATTAACTAAAATGGTAGAGGTCTGGCAGCACCTTTTATGACCTCAGTGAGGTGCATGAGGAGAGTGAGGGCGCATGTGTGTACCAAACAGACACTCCAAGGGAAAAATTCTCTTGTCCTGGGCACACGAGCAACCTGAAATGCACTACACATAGAGACAAACACTCAAAGTTACAAAATATTAAATTAAAATAAACTGACTATTACAATTCAATACAATACACAACCGTTTGTTCCATTAAATTACAAGGGCAGCCATAACAACAAATCTTTCATCCAGGCTAGTGGGATGACTCCTTTTGCAATCAGATGTCAGGTAATTTTTTAAGTCCTGACAGTGAGGGTGGGCGAGTACATTTTGTTCAGTCTGGTAAATTCACGAAAGTTTGTAAGGCTTGTTTAACTCTTGCCTCTCTTCTCATGGAATGATGGCTCATTGTATGTTGGATGTTATAAAAGCTAACATATTAATGTACCGCAGACTATTTTGGCCAACTTTAAATTCAACCAAATATCAAGATGATGTTTTAAACTGCCTATTCATCACTGATATCAGCAACATCAGTCCTTCTCACACAAAAAAGCTTAAACCCCCACTTGATTCTGTAATGGGATTCAGACATACAGCCAGTGGCCTGGATAGTAAGCTGGTACATAAGGCGTGAAGTTAGGCTAGCACTATCATGGACACTGAGTCCTTTTGCAGCCCAAACACAATATAAGCTATTTAACACTAAACATTAACACTCCACAGATGCTGAACAAGACTTCTCTCTTAAAGCAGGGCTTCTCAAACTGCATTGCACCACGACCTCCTTCTGACAACAAAAATTATTACATGACTCCAGGAAGGGGGGAACAAGCCTGAGCCTGCCCAAGCCCTGCCACCCTGGGCGGGGGGCAAAGCCAAAGCTTCAGCGCCAGATGGGGGGCCTGTAATTTGAGCCCCATCAACCAGGGCTAAACCCCTCAGGTTTTGGCCCTGTGTGGTGGGGCTCAGGCTTCATCTTCAGCCCCAGGCCTCAGCAAGTCTAACGCCAGCCCTGGTGACCCCATTAAAATGGGGTCCTGACCCACTCTGGAGTCCCGACCCACAGTTTGAGAACCACTGTCCTTAAGGTAAAAACTTGGGGACCTATAAAGTTGACTTTGAAGGCTTGCATTTAGAAGTTGGGTTAACCTGAGTAAATTTCTCCTTCCCGGTTAGCATGTTGTAACATCTGCATATTTAACAGATGTTCTTCCTTTAGGCTCTTTCCTCCAAGTCTAAATTTAACTATGTTGAACACAATTTGCCACTTGCTAGTCTGAATAGTCAAGGGTATTTCCAGGTGGAGGACAGAAAAAAAAATAGGCTGGATAATCTACTATGCTAGTGCACCTCTGAATGTTAGAAAAACGTTTGCACCAATAGTATTCACTAATCCGCTTGATCCAAAATGCCTGATTAACTTGAACCAGAAATCAAGGAGCTATGGCTTGCTTTGAAATGTTCATAATACACACCGCTAAAATACTGTTTCCTACACTGGGCTTAAGCAGTGCCATTCTCATTGCTATTAATGGAAACTGCTTAACTAAAATTGTGTGCAACTCCACAAGTTTAAGGATAAGCTTGTACTCCTCAGTTCCCTTTCTCTTACCTCGCTCTCTAGCTAACAGAATGAAATGTGTCTCTCTAATTTCTAAAAAATACAAGAAAAGCCACATGGAGCACCTGATAAAATGGGCAAGAAAATTTGGACATTAAGAAAAACAAAAGAACCAAAGCACAAAAAAGATGAAGTGACTGGTTAATCTTAAATCGAGATTAGAGAAAAAACTACATTTCTGCTAGAATTTAATAATTTATAATACTTAACAGAACTCTTTTCAATCTGTTTCAAGAGTGGTGTTGTCCAAGAGTTAAAAATATTAGCTTTTGCACTCATCACTGAAATGGTCTGTCTTCATACTGTCATTCCCCCGCTAATTTTACCACCAATATTGTAAGTAATTAATAGATATTAGAAGTTCACCTTTCATTCACCGCTTTCAGGAGTAACAAAAATTACAACAGCAAGAGGAGTGCTTTAGTAAGGTTGTAGAAAAGAATACAGCACCTATTCATAATTTACTAGTTTGCCACTGACTGAAATTCACCTCAATTATATTTTTAAAATGTATATACTTGCGCTTATTAATTAAAAATGATGGATTATTGAAAACATACTTTCTAAAAGCACAGAAACATTCGGAATTATGCAATATATTAGTAGGCTCAGACCACCAAATTACAAAAACATTATCATACCTAATTTTTTCAGAATTATGTATTTGTGCTGAGATTTTGAAAGAAAAACTGCTGTTCTACTGCAGAGTTTAGTTGACATTTTGGACAAGATAATAAAATGCAAACAGGGACAGACCAATCTATCAGGCAATTTTTGTCCTGTGATTTTGTATATTTTACCTGAGTAGCTTTATCTTTCATGCATGAAGGGTAGTGTACATGGGGATCACGAGGCCATTGTCCTGTGAGATAAGGTCCTGTTATTGTGTCCAAAGAAGAGGTTCGCCTTATAGTACCAGAGGTTCTAACTTGCTGGGATTTTGGCCTGTCCACTGCAAAAAAGAAAAAGGTTATTTAAGATTTAATATGAAACATAAATTATAACTTTTTGTCTTACCTGGCTTGTTAAGTACTTTACCCTTAGCATTAAGCATGGGAAAAGGTGTTTAAGCAAAAGTGTTTTTGTTTAAATTGAAGACTGTCCTCACATCACATTTTCCCCTTTAAGTTAAAGTACTGTTTAAAATGGCCAAATTCAAATTTTTGTAGCCCACTTTTAAAAGATTACTATAGAAGACAGCCTGCCAAACCCTAACTAAGAAGAAATTTTTGGAAAAATATCAAGGAATTTTCTCCACCATCCCCCAATACTCAGATATTTTCTTGCACTATAGGTACTCAAGATTTCCATAAGAATCTTATGGAAACCTTAAATGAGTAATATACAAAATATAAACTTATCTTCTTTATAAACATAAGACGGTGGTGACAAGTTTTATTTCTTAATTTCAGTTTGATCCCATTTTTATTTCACTGCAGAACTTTCACTATTTCCAGCCTTCCACTACCTTGGGTGTTTTGAGACTATTAATATTCTTCTGTGGCTCCATCCACCCTTTCCTGGAATAATGCTCCTCCTCCAGGTCTCTAACTGAAAGTAAGCTGTGACTAATCCTCTCTGAAATCTGAGCAGTACATTTTTTTTTTTTTTAAACAAAAAGGTCACCGATAAAGTTCTGACTTTACAACAACTTCAGCAACTTTGACACTCCAAAATTATAGATTTTTTTATTAGGTTTCAGACAATGCCCTGTCTGACAGCACTCACACCTCACACTGCTGAGGTGATCTCTCATCAGTGGAAAGAGGTCTGAGATCTGTAGTAGCTCTTGCCTTTGGACACAGTGGATCACAAGGTGCCACTCAGGCCATATCTACACTACTGCAGTAAGTCGACCTTCGCTACGAAACTCCAGCTATGTGAATGACATAGCTGGAGTCAACGTACCTTAGGTCGAGTTACAGTGGTGGGTCAACGGGAGAAAGTCTCCTGTCGACTTACCTTATTCTTCTTATGGGGGGGAGGAGAAGGAAGAGTACAGGGGTCGACTGGAGACTGATCTGCAGTTGATTTGGTGGGTCTTTACTAGACCCGCTAAATTGACCACTGGTGGATCGATCTCAGAGCGTCGATCCCCACTGTAGTATTAGACCTGCCCTCACACCCTATTTTTGGGGTCTGGCAGAAGAAGTTACTTTAAGTTAATACCACTCATTCCATTCAAAGAGACCCCAGAGATTATCAATGAGGACCTTTAAACAAGGCCCTGACAGGCAGAGCACCAAAGGGAATCATTAGATCACATCTAATTCAATTAGAAGAGTAAGTAGGGAGAGAACAAGATGCCACAGGCTCAGACGCAATTCTTTTAGCTAAAATATACCAATTCCCTCAAGGACTGTGTTCCCTAGTGGAATTATAGGTCTAGATGAGGAGCAGCTAGCTATAGCTCACTCCAGGCAAGACTGATGTGATTCTGGTAGGAAGGGCAAAACATTTTCATAGAGTCTTAGAATTTAAGGCCAAAAGGGATCACCAGCTCCTCTAGTCTGACCTTCTGTATATCATAGGCCACTAACACCACCCAGCACCCACATGCTAAACCCAACATATAAAATTAGACCAAGGTATTATAGTCCTCAGGAGGCTAAACTTGCATGCCCTCAGGCAGGGAGTAAGATAGATCCAGATGGATCACTGTCTAAGCTTATTGAATGGCAGGGAATTAAGATAGATATAATATCAAAATGATCCACCCCCATGTTGCAGAAGAAGGTAAAAAAAACAAAAACCCAGTCACTGCCAACCTGGCTTAGGGGAATACTCCTTCCTGATCCCACATATGGTAATCAGTTAGACCCTGAGCAAGAACCAGCCAGCCAAGCACCTGAGAGAGAAAATTATCAGTACCACCACAGATCACTGAACATTGCACTGGCTACCAACAGAATTCTGGTTTAATATCAAGGTCCTAGCCATCTTCAAAGACCTGAATGAACTATGGCCCAGTTATCTCTCCACTCTGTCCATATTAAAATGCTCAAATAAATAGTGCTTTGGCTGACTGAGCCAAGGTTTCAATTCTTCCTTCAAAACAATGTAAATATTTGTACTTTATGTAACTTAAAAAAAAATCTGTTATATGGTTATTCCCCTTCTGATACAGGCTTCTACTCCAGTCCAAGGCAGTTGAGCTATGTCTGTCTCACTACAGATACTGGAGGAAGTTCACACTTGGTCACATCCCTTCTACTCTCAAAACAGATGAGTATTTCTAAAGCTGTACAAAAAGTCTAAACTCATCGGGGTGCATAAAAATCAGATTTTTTTTTATTTAAATTGGATTTTTTTGATAAAATGCTTTTTGAGAGAAAAAAACCTATCTAAAGATAGTTTTAATTAAGACACTATAGCTCAAAGATATCTCATCATGGAATAGGGATTATAAATTCTAATTCTATAGTATGAGACAATATATTAATGTAATGTTTAAGAAAAGTTTTGTAAATGAGTTCCAATAGTTCATGGATTAGGGACCCAATCTTATGGGGTCCCAGGGGCTTCTGTATAGATTATTTAGGTTAATCTTTCTATTTACCCAATGGGACTTTATGTTCAGTCTAGAAGATACCATCAGAGATGCTTAGTTTTGCAGTTCTCAAACTGTGGATTTGTGTCTCCAGAGATAACATACTTGTTAATAGCAAAATGTTTTAAAACAAATATAGAGAGAGGTGAGAAATAACAGACCTCAATCATATCGTCCCTCTGCAAATTTGTGTACACAGAGTCAATCCCTTACCTCTCTCTAAAAGTGCAAAGTTTCAAAAAAAGTTCAATGAATAAAAGATTGTTGGGGGCAGACTAAATAGGGACAAGGAGAAGTCTGGAGATAAATGTGAGAAGGGAGGGACAGGCAGTAGAAACAAAAGTGAAACTGTTCGAGCAGCATATTCCAGAAGTCTTGAGGTCTTTCTGAGCGTAGCCTTCATTGATTTGAGATCTACTATACCATTCTCTCACTAGAAGGGAAAAAACTAGAATGCCAGAAGGCCATAAAAGAGACCCAGTTTGGGAATATTTTAATGAAGATCCTCTACCTGTGGGTAAGACAGGCATGCGTGCAAAATGCAAACAGTGCAACAAAGAAATGCAAGACCTGGTTTCCCTAATGAAACAACATCATGAGAAGTGTTCCTTCTCAGGAAGAAGCTGCATTGAAGACGAAGAAAGAAACAATGTCTGAACATACAGGATCTTCAGGGTGGTAAACTTCTTTATTTCATACTTCTTTCTTAAGGACTGCCTGTCTTCCTTCTGGACTATTCTTGAACTCTCATGTTTGAGCAAAAAATATAGTTGTTACTCTATGGTACTATCATTTTAGATGCAGTTGTGATAAAAAATAAATAGCTGAAATAGGCAGATCTTCCTTTTACAATTTCACCTTTAAAGTAGTACTGAGTGTCAGTGAATGCAATGAGTAAACACTAAACACAATGAGCAGTGTGGTAATAATAATTAAATAACTGCACTGACTTATTTTGTTTAGGAGAATCCATCCTCAACAAACAGGATTCTGAAGACTATCCACCTTCAAGATCACCATCATTTTCTATAGTTTCAGAGTTATCTGCCAATGATAGTGTTTCAGTCACATCATGTATGTCACATAGCCACAGTATAGCACCTGTAGCAAAAAGAAAAAAAAAATCATCATCCAGAAACAACCATAGATAAGTTTGTGATAAGAACCAGCGGATTACAAAAAAGAGGTAATTGATAAAAAAAATTGCCCGGTTTGTTCATGCAACAAACTCTCCTTTCCATATGACTGAGAACCCTCACTTCATTAACATGGTTCAGTCATTAAGACCAGGACACAGTCCACCCAACAGAGCATGTCATATGCAAATTGCTAGATAAAGTGTATGAAAAAGATATTGAGTAGTATGCAAAAGGTCTAGAGGGTGAAATTGTTAACTTGAGTCTTGATGGGTGGAGCAATGCACGTACAACAGGATCATTGTGGACTTGTGTGACAACAGAAGAGGGGAATGTCTTCCTAACGGAAACAATTTATACATCAGGAAATGAACACACATCAGAATACTTACAAGAAGGAGCAGTAAAAGCTACAACTAACTGTGGAAAAAAATTCAAATGCATAGTACGCAGCTTGGTCACAGACAATGCTGCAAATGTATCCAAGATGAGAAGAAATTTAGAAGAGTCCAAAGCTAACAACATAGGGTTGCAGTGCTCATTTGATGCACCTCCTTGCCAAAGACTTCAGTATTCCAGAAATAAAGCCTAATGTTGTTGAAATTGCAAAATACTTCCGTAACAACCACTTTGCAGCTCTGAAAAAAGTGGGAGGAACCAAGCTAACTATCCCACAAGACATGTGATGGAACTTAGTAGTGAACTGTTTTGAGCACTATATCAAGAATGGATTCTGTGACTAATCTGAGGACAGTCTGTGAAAAAAATCATGAAAAAGTAGATGGCACTGTCACAGCCAAAGTTCTCAACATTTGGCTTAAGAGAAATGTTGAACACATGCTGAGTACCCTGAAGCCTATTTCTGTAGCCTTGAACAAAATGCAGGGAAATAGCTGTTTTATTGCTGATGCTGTTGAAATTTAGAAAGAACTGGGTGCGATCTTAAATAGAGAAATATGCAACGACAGAGTTAAATTACAAGCATTAAAAAAGGAATGGGACAAGCACTATCTGTAGCTCATTTTCTTGAAAATATTCTCAATACTCAGTAGCAGGGTCAAACCTTAACTGCTGAAGAGGAGGAGTTGGCTATGACATGCACATCCAGCAATCATCCCTCCATAATGCCAACTATATTAAACTTCAGAGCTAAGGGTGAACCATTCAAGAATGTTTTAAAGTGAACTGGTGGAAGTCACTAAAGCACTTGGATTCAGAGACTGTTGAAGTGATAATCTCACTTAACAGCAGTAGCTTCTTCTGCCA